TTAGCTTTCATATTTTCCAGATTCTGTACTGCATTAGTATATATCTCTGAACTTCATATAAAGTGTCAGCAAGTTCTCATCACAGTTTAGTTAGACAAAACAATCCTTTTCCAGCCTGAGAACCAAGGACACCGTTGGAGCTTCAGGCCCAAAAAGTATAAAAAACAGTGAACTGAGGAAAGCAAACTGGGAGGATGAGACTTCATAACCTGAAACTGTAACTGGACAATTAACCCCAACATGTAAATGGACCCTGTGATAAATGTAACTTTGGAAAAAATTCGTGAAAGAAGAAATAAGTATATAACTGTATTTATAACAATGTAGACCACATAAAAATATAGTGTGGCCTAAAGATTCCTCCCCAGACCCAGCAGTAACTACCTATTCAGGCGATAACGACCCTAAGCGATGCTTGTCAGCCTGAGAGGAAGAGCAGAACAAGGGCCATCAGACTAGACAATGAGAGGAGCCCAGCCGAGATGCTCACCGGCTCCACATCGAATCTGGATACCCCACCCTATAAACCACGACCGAAAAAGCAATCTAACTAAACAATGAGAGGAGCCCAGCTGAGACACCCATCTGCTTCACACCGGACCTGGACACTTCTCCCTGAGAGTCCAACCAAAGATACAATCAGGAAGCAATCAGAACTTTTCACATACGAAAAGACTCTGCCCAGTTGTCTATTGATTCAGTTCTACGGTTCCAGGAAATCCATTCAACCAACCATCTAGACTCTTTGTGGAACAGTGACAGCTCGGAGTTTAGCCTCAGGACACAAAATCCCTATGAAAACCCTAGACAGTCAGCGCTCCGTGTGGATTTGGGTAAATCTGTACCTCTGGGTATAGACCCCTGTCCACCCAGCGCTGCGCTGATCTATTTTATTGTGGTTTTTTTCTCCCGTTTGTGATTGAAATTGTTTTATAATAAATCGCTGTCTATATTAATCATATTTTGCCGTTGCATTTATAACAGACCCAAACTTACAAAAGTGTGAAAATGTGTGGTCCATCATCTATCTTGGATGGAGCTATGGCCGGGCTTTTGTACTGCCCAAGGTGTATCCTGTAAAGGCCATTTTAATAAATACCTATTTTATTCCAAAAATAAAATAAATAAAATTATTTATTTTATTAACACTGTGTAGCTTCTGTTCTAGGTAGCCTCTCAAGGCATCAATAGGCTCATGCCATTTCACAATGCCCTAGTACCAGGCTCTAGGGGCTGTACAGATTAGCTGTGACTTGAATACAAATTCATTCTTTTTCTTTGCTGAATGAATACTATTATTTGACTGTGGGTTGTAAGTACAGTTATATTTCTGAGAATTTTCTGTCTATAGCAGCTCAAGAATAGGAATATTACTTATGTTCCATTTCATAGTTCTGAAAGTGTTTTGACCCTACATAGAAATTTGAAAACCTTTTCTGAATAGGGCCTACTATTCACAAAATGATTTTTTTCTGTATTATTTTATTAATACAAACACACTTCACCTAGTGAAAGCAGGTCTTACATAATATACAAGAGGCATCTTATTACATTGTGATAACTTTAAATGGAGTCTTTTGACTATGAAACTTATTTTTTCTACTTAAGTGAATGTAAACTATGTGGACAATGAGAAATAACATTTTTTGAAATAACCTTCAGGTGATATTTAAGTAAAAAATACATGTAAATATTTTCAAATTCAAATAAAATAATAAAATATCCACAAAAAAAAGAAGCTTGAATAACAAAGCAGTGAAATATATTATCTTGTTTCACAGGACTTTGTAAGTGTTTGAGAGCTGAATTTACATCTTTTTTAGCATCCTTTTATAGTTAAATCCAGGGCTGATACTCTGTCAGAAAGATGTTATCTTACTATGGCTAGAATACTTCTGTGATTCAGCATCTCTTTTTTCCAGTGTTTTCAGGAAACGATTAAATTTGTAGCAGCTTTGCAATTTCTCTAAGAGTAGTAGCTGTTGTCATAGGACAACTTTTCCAAAACAAAATATTGTTTCACAATCAGATTATGACATTAATCACTGAGATGCTGTGGTTTAGGTTAGCCTTTGGTTAGTTTGCTAAATACTTAGCATTTGTTTTCCCAGGCTTTTGATAGCAGAATTCTCCCTCAAATCTGCTCACATCTCTGAGTTCATTTGTTCACAGTGACATTGCCATGAATTCACCTAACTCTCACCTAATTTTGCCCTGACAGGATGCTGAGGGGAATTTGTTACATATAGCAACTATTTAACAAATAGTTATTAATATTAACAATCTTATTAGCAATCTGTTCTCTATTTGGTCTTCATGGAAGTTCCAAGCACCAAGTAATGGTTTTGATGTACCAACACCTATACTCAAGAAAAAAGTAACTTTGACATGGGAAATTTAATGTAGCATTTAAAAGGACATTTACTTAAAAGTACCCCTGAAATGCCCAGTGCCATCAGAAGGAATAGCTCAAGGCAGATTCAGCTTACATTGGCTCTCCAGAAAGAGCTCTGAGTGGCCTCATAGGACAAGACACAAGAGAGAGCGTGAAACACTCAGCCATAAAAGGAAAGACATGAGACTCCATCAGCAGTGCTGACCAAAGTGTTCAGTTCTGCCACCCCCCTTTTTGTCCTGCCTCTGCCTCCTATTCATATTCTTGTACTACTCAAGCCCTGTGATAGGACAGAACAAAAATGAGACTGTGGAGGGAAGGACAGGAAGGATGGTCTTCACCTTCAGCAGCAGAGACACTTTAAATGGGCTTAAAATGGTTGTGAGATCTAAATCAAGCTATTATTACATAGCTCCATTCTTTCCATCAGCTCCTCTGAGTGATGCCAGAGAGACAGACGAGTTAAGCCATGTCCCGTACATCTGTTCTCAAAAGTAAAGATTCAATAAAGACAGAAGCACTGTGGAAGACAAGATGTTTTTTCCCCTGAACACTGTGGGAAGGCAAAAAAGACCACCTGGATGCAAGAGTGCTTAAAAACTGAAAGTAAAGCTAAATGCCAAATTTTCAGTTACCTTTAGGACAGTAGCAGGGAGACTTTCACAATACAAATTGTTAGGACTGTTTGCATCTCTGAACAATGAAATACATTTCATATGCACTTGCATGCAGATAACAGAATGTAAATAGAATTACACACCCTTTAAAGAAAGCCTTTAAATATTGTAGTTTTAAAAATCTAAAATGGACTGCTGTAATTATCCGGATCACATAAGACATTATTTTCAGTTAGAAAAACATGCTAAATATTTTCCTGAGGTTAATTTTTGCTACCTGATGCATGTTATTTAAAACTTACTTCCCATTAATAAAAATGCACAAGCTATTTAATAATAAACTTTGAAAGAGTAACCTTCAAAATATATTAGTGCACCAATAGCAATCCTATTAAGTGAAGCATCATTTAAAAGTGTCAATGGCTCTTACAACACCGGTTGCAATCCCTTACTAATTTAACATTACAGCTTCATTTCTTGTTCTAATCTCATCTAATTTACCCTTCTAATTTCCTTGCTTCTGGATATGCTAGGTTTGCCACCCAATGAGTTTATTTCACTAGTCATTCACTTTCAACTGTAAAACCAAACTATTTGAGGGGAATAATCTCCCTGCAATCCAACACGGGATAAAGAGCTCTTATTTATCGAGCATTTTGTGCCTTGAATTGAAGCATTATTGCAAAGAGTGAGCAATAAACAAAAACACCTCGGGGGCCTGGGAGGAGCAATATAACCAATTACATTTAATTAAATCAAAGGATGGGAGCCCTAGGGTTGAATGAGCTGAAGAACAAATTTGCATTAACACCTAGCAGCCAAACAAGTAGTTCTTGGTTTAGTCTGGAAGTACAATTGTTGCCATCTATTCTCTGCACTGAAGGGGGGCCATTAGCTAAATTCTTAGGAATTGTTTGTCCACTGATGAGGGGCTGCCTTCTCAACATTTCACCTGCTCACACATGAAAATTGCCTGCTAAAATAAACAGCTTCTTCTGAAACCCGGCAAACAAACATCAGTACCTGATTCACAAGTTTGCAATTCTGTCACACCTTTGTCAACAAAGGGAACTCTGCCAGAGCTCACACACCTGAGGGAAGTGGAGACCCTAGGAGACCTATGTGGGTGGGTGATGGAAGAAGTGGGAAGAAATAATCTGGCTATAATAAATTCTATAAATTGAAACACCCAGGATAATCATTACCTACTGCACTTCAGGAATGGATGCAAACACTGAGCCTTTGGTATAATGAGAAGACTTCCGAACACTAAAGTAATTATCAGTGTAATGCACTACAAGCCTTTCTCTCCACTGTCCAAAGGCAAGAAAGAAAGATCATGGAAGCCTGAGAAGAGCAAGGAATGGAAATTTATAAGCACAACTTTGAAAATTGTAGAGAAATTAGGATTTCTCTAATTAAATACAGAAATTAAATACAGAAATTTTAAGAGTCCACAACTCTGTGTTTTCCTAACTATGATTCTGTACGGAAAAATAGGAAAGACTATAAATGTTTAATCAGTTATCTACTGCTCTTTTTTTAATGTTTGTTGCACAGTCGTGCTAAAAGACAGCATTTACATGTAAAGAGGGTGATTTTTTTTTATGGTGTCTATGAGGCATTTGGCAGGGTAGCAATGACCAAAATTCTTTTTTCATTATTTTAAAGATACACTTTCAGAGATTTATAAGTATAATAATTTCAAATCATTAGAGATTTAAACTTATTGTCCCATACCCCATCCCAGACACAAAGTATGCCTTAATCTACATCCGCCAAAAGCATAAATTAGTTTATCCATTTTAGGTTATACAACAAATAAAAAGGAATGTAATGGTTTCAAAACACTGCTTTAAACCTAAGCTAAAAGGCTGAATTATTAAAATAATTTTTTAGGCAATCAGTGATCATTGTGCCTTAAAAGTGCAACAGCCAAGATTCTCATTTTGAAAAATGCTGAATATGCATACATAATATTTTCTTACCTCTTATTCCTTGAATATTAAGATGGAGAGTACAGTGAACAGTAAATGACTTTTGTAGAGCCCTGCATACTCTGATCTCAGTCTTTTCAGGATGTAAGCTGTTTCCCTCTTGACCTTCATTTTCTTGCTTTGGAAGAAATTAAATTGCAGTCTTACTCTGCAAAGTGACCAAGTAAAAATATAATTTTATTCTTACCAGACAAACTTGCTTCCTTTATTTACTCATAGCTATATTTTCCTCTTATAATGACAAGTAAAAATATGCTTTAGTGCCCTTTTATGCACTGTTAGACCCCAAAAAGCTAAAGGAGATCTAACAGCATTTTTAATGACAGAAGAAGTTGGCTCATATTTTCATCTTGTTAAAGGCAGTAGAATCCAGCTTAAAATAAATGAGAAAACTCCATTTCAGAGCAAACAGCTATTAAACATGTGCTTCCAGACTACACCTACTCCAGTCTTCTGAATTCAGCAATAAACAGTGTCCTTTGTGTCAGTTCTTGTGATAATGAGGATACGTGGAGTATGAGATAGATTTGTTAATCTGGAAGAAAGCCACAAACAAACCAAACACGCCACTCATGCTAAAGGTGGGCAAAGTTTTCCGTTAGATGAAACAACTGATCCAACTGACAGACTGGTATCAAAAGCCAAAATAAGGCACAGCAATGAGTGCAGATGATCATGTACTGGGAGTGACATAAGAGATGGAACAGGGCCACCTCCTTTAAGCAGCAACAAGCTGACACATCACCATAGCATGTGGTGGTATAATATCAGCAAGTGTCTAGCTCACAATTTACAAACACCTTAACTTAGACATGTTTCTCAACAGATCAGACAAAATAATCTCAAAGTTGAATTTGTGTAGTGAAGCATTAGTCTGGAGGTTAGTTTCCTATTTTGTTTTAGAATGTGTTTAGCCAAGGTATTTTAAACCATGCCAAGACACAAGACTCCAGTTTCACATGTATATTCCTTACCTGCCTTAATCCGCATTAATTATAAAAAAAAAACCCAAACAACAATATTTCTTACTATATACATGTACTTTATGGATAAACTGCTCTGAGCATCACTGCTTTCCTCTTCTTTGGGTAACTACAGACCTGATACAGACTTCCTAACTCTTGGGCATGATCTCCTGCAAAGAGGGTAAGGGGAGATAGAATAAGATTTATTGTAGCAGGAAGAACACCACAGGAGGGGTAGAGGCAGTGGGGTAATGGTAGCAGGAGCCCTTGAAAAAATTCCTTTAGCTTACATTCTACTTACACCTTCCAGTATGTTTATAAAGAAAAAGACAATGCTGCATGTGCATGAAAGTAGCTGCATTTCTGCTGGGGTTTTTTAAAGCTCATGGATGGCATGTCAATCAAAATGAATACAGCTAGGTTTGAGGTGTGACATTTAGGAAAAAAACCTCTATGTTAGAGAATTCTCTATGCCAGCTTTACTTATGAATGAAATCACACAATGGCAAGAACCTGTGAAATTACCAGCTATTTCAGTACGTTCAGAAGTTTTACACTGAGCCTACTGCATCCCATCCACTATTGCAGTATTGAACCCTAGGATTTACCTACAAACAGAAAGCACTATTCTGGAACTAAGTCTCCATACAGACAGCAAGTACATATTTTTTTAATTACTATATTACACTATTTATGAACAGCTCAGCTGTCTTGCTCAGCTAAGAAACTTTCTCATACATGAGGTATAGGATTCCCTTTATACTGAAGTAGGACTCCCTTTATACTGAAGGAATGAAAGCAAAATAGCAAAGCAGATAGAAGTGCAGTAAAAACAGTGCGGTAAAATACTGCAGGCATAAGAAATGGTGGAACTAAGGAAGAGTGATACATGGTTTACATGAAAAAAATTAGAAAATGTCATAACTATGACACACCTGTCATAACAATTCACCTCCAGCACTTCTCTGCCATTTGAAGCACAAAACAAGAAGTCCTCACAATGGTTGATCTGATGATGAAGTAGCAATGTGAATTTACAGCGCTGAGGAAATACATACCAGCCACCTTTCTAAATGTGTACTTTCTCACAAGATCTAAATGCAACCACACTGTGAGAGAACATTCCAGATGCACAGGAAAATAATGTTTCTGCTGATGAACAGTACACTTCAATCTGCACCCTGAATCCCTACATACCAGAGACCTGCTGCTTGCAGCACAATTAAGGTTTTACACTAGTCCAGACAGAAGGCTGAGAGAGATGATGCCAAGGCTGTTTCCAAACAATTGCTAATTACTCTTTAAGACCTGTTTGGAAAGATATCTTCTCTGAAAAAAATACATGTTAAATTTTAAATATGCTCTTGAAAGAAAGACTAGTTTTACAATTTCAAATGCTAACACCACTCCTCTTCTTTGAAAATATACTTCTTGTTTAGTTTACTTCCTTAAATTATTCCTTAAAAATATTTTTTTTCTCAAAAGTATCCAATATTAGTGGAACATTTTTTATTTTGTTTTTGAGGTCAACATGCTTTTCATTTGCAGTGATATTTTGTGGTTTTTCTGTCTCAATTTCATCCATTCTATACTATTTTCAAATCTATTGTCCTCAACTGTTCTCAAAAAACAGTTATTTCAATTTGAATTAATTATCTCTTTTTTGATATGCTTCTGTTTACCCAGTAGAAAATTGAAATGTGCTTCCTAATTACATATCTGCTTCATCATTTTAATTAATTTGTTAATTAATTAATCTCAGCATTCTTTCAAGCAGATTCATATCAATCACATAAATAACACAGGTATTTTACACAAAGTAGGAGACAATGACCAGAAATTTTACTCTGCAAAATATAGTTGTAGTGTATAAGTAAAATTTTCTGCTCCAAACTACTCCATATTGGTAATCAAATGTCTACAGCTGCATGCTTGACACTGTATTCTTGATATATTTAAATTAGGAAAAAGAAAATGAAACAGTTAAATTTCAAAGAAATATACAGATCTTACATGTATATTATTTTTTATATCTTTACAAATGGTAAAAGATAGTAAATAATGACAAATTAAACCAAAGCACTTTAATTCAAAATAACCAATATACATTGGTTTAAAAAGATGTTAAGTAACCCTGCAGGATATGTGCAGGATTTGAAACTAGTCCAAACAATGTCCAGCTTAATACTAGGAACATATAAAATGAGCTATCAGGGCCTATTAGTGCATTGTAATGGCTTAGCTACTTGAAGAAGTGACCCCAAAATCTCTATTCTGACCCAACTTTCAGAAATGGGGCAGAAGATTGACCTTCACACAATATAATCGGCAAAGGATCTAAAAAATTTATCTCTCTGTTATGTGAAACCACAGTTTTATTTACTCAGGCATGTTCACTTTGGAGTTAAGGTCCACTCAAGCATCATTTCAGGGTTAAAGGTTATAGTATAAAGCCATTATGTTTTCAAGCAGAGTAGCATGCTACCATTTGTTTTGCAGTAATATCACAATCAGACATTACCTTTTTAGCTTGGCCCAGCGGTGAGTTTAAGACCCTGGTGTATACATTGTAAAATAGACTGGTACTTTCTAAAAGTCGTTCAAGCAGCATTTGCTAAATTTTAGATTGGTGAATATTTTGTCTATGCTCTCATATATAGACAAACAGCCATACAGAAAGGTTTATGTTCTATGATCCTGTAGAAGGTCTGTTTATATAATAACTGATTATACATTAAATATATAATCAATGTACAGAAAAAAAAATCAGTAATTGCATTAGTTTCACAATAAAAGTAACTGCAAAAGTAGGTACAAGGATTAAAAGGATTTCTAAAGCTCTCATTCAACACCTGTTTAAATTTTTTCCTATTGTTTACCAGCTCCTAATATTCACTACATACCTATTCCAAACTGTGCTAATTTTAGCTAAGGCAGAATTAAATTTCTTCGGCTGGTATGGGGCTATATTTTGAATTTGTGCTGAAGACAGGATTGGTAATATAGAGATGTTTTTGTTATTGATGAGCAGGGCTTAGACAGAGCCAAGACTTTTTCTGCCTTTTGCACTGCCACACTGACAAGGGGATGGGGGCGGTGTATGTGAAGTAGGGACGAGACATAGCCGGGACAGGTGAACCAAATAGAGATATTTGGGTCAAAAGCGACCAAAGTGATATTCCATATTTGACCAGAGGGATAGTCCAGACCATATGACATCATGCTCAGTGTATAAATTGTGAGGAAGAAGGAGGATGAGAGGGGACATTCCAAGTGATGGTCCAATTCATCATTATGTGTTATCGGGCCCTGAAGATGGCTGAACACTTGCCTGCCCATAGGAAGCCATGAAATTCTTTGTTTTGCTTACCTATTCCCTATAAAAAACTGGTTTTATCCCACAAACAAAGAATGTTTCTTGGTCAGGAGCTTACTAAATTAAGCATTTGTGCAACAATAAAGCCTAAGTTTGGTAAGCAGGAAGCAGTGTCTATAAGACTATTCACAACAACAAACTGAAAGTTTCTTAAATTGACAACAAATGCCACAATCTTTTAACATATTCTTTGGACTCATGTGGGGATACTGAAATATATCTCCAACTGCTAGATTATGCAATTTTATCACCATACACTACTGTCTATATATCTATAACACTGTAACAGAATTTTGAATCATAGGATGATTCAGAGTGTAAAGGTTAGACATACAAATGAAGATACGGAGTACTTTAAGAAATAGGATTGTTTCTGAGTACATGTTCTAGAAAAGCATACCAGTTATTTCAGCAAGTGTGACTTCTCCATACAAAGGATTCTTGGGTTTGTGATCTGAAGTCTGAGCATAAAATTATTATAGTACAAATTTGAATACAGAATTACAGCATGCATTTCCATTAAAGTGACATCAAATTGCCAAATCTTGGAGATTACAAAATTAGTTAGGAAATGCTGGTACACCCTTAGCACAGCTGTGTTGCCTGTTTGCCTTAGGAAGCAACATGTGACTAAACACTCTCACATAAGATACTTCACCAAGGACCGCCACCTCCTCCTAGTTCACAGAACCAAAGGCAAGTCTTCATTTAGTGATAAAATAACCAACACTCACACTTCAGTTAAATACAGATCCTTCTCTTACTTTCTGAATCTACCTTTTAATAGAGCAGGCTTCTCTGGCTTTTGGCTAGACAGCTATTAATTGTCTGCTTTTCAGTATCTTTATTTGAAAAATAGCCAACCATTCACCCTTAAGAGAACAATTCCTCCACCTCACAGTCTTTGCTGATTATGTTTCTTGCAGCATGTGGTGATGACCTGGGGATAGACAGAATTCAGAACGAGGCCACCTTTAGATGAAGCCCTGAAGCAACAAAATAGGAAAAACATCCACTAAGTCTTTAAGAGTCTAAAGTACTTAGAACCTCATTGGGTTTTTTTTTAATTTTACATTTCTGCTTTTGCTGTTGAAATCATCATTTCAGCCATGATTTGTTTCAGCAGATCAGATCTTAACCTTTCAGATAAATAACACACAATCCAGCCATCACTGAGAACCTTCTGGTGGGTGGAGGATGAAATTGCTCTCCAAGCAACTGCACAAACCATGAAATTTCCATTT